AAAAAAAAAAAATCTCGACGTCGCTCTGCCTTCCATCTCTGCTGGCGACAAGCTCCCCACTGTGACCCTCATCTACAACGACCTCCGGCTGACCGAGCCCCACGAGAGGACCTTCTCCAGCCTCGAGATGACCATCGATAGTTGATATTGTTTAATTATATTTATAATATTGAGAAAAGTGTAGTTGAATTAAAAAAAATATTCCAATTAACAATAATTGGTTTTTTTTAATTAAATCCATATCCAATCGTACCTTAATCACTATCAACTTAAAGAGATCTTTTTTTTTGGTACAAAAAAAAAATAACATGCAAAAATAACATGCATGATAGCTGTTGTAGATTGATTTTTATTTATTTATTTGCTATGACAATTGATATGGAATATATTACGCATATTAGTTTTTGTAGTTCCTTTTCTCGAGCATAGTTTGATAACTAAATAAATATAAATACTAGTACTAATACTCATGTACAAGATGAGTGTTGAGTTAATGAATATATGTGTAAAGTTATTTATGTCTAATATCAAACCTAACTTCAGAGCAAAAATAATATAAAAACAACATTACGAAGCATAGATTTTCGTCATGTCAGCTTCCGAAGCGTGAGAATCTGCCACCTAGGCTCAACACGTTTTGAATTAATATATAGGGAGGGATATATAGGGAGAGATTATTTGATAACTAATTAACTACAATAGCTAGTCCACTTTTTAGTTACCCCATCGAATGTGAAAAAGAACACACATTTATTTAAACTTGTTTACATAGGGATAAACCATTACAACGCCAGAATCTGGCAACTCATAACTATAATTAATTTACGACATGTCGTAAGGAAAGCCCACTTTCTTCTTCTCATCTAATTCAAGGCCCATTTTTATTTCCTCCACGGCCCGTTCACTTGGGCCCTTTAGCCATAGTCGCGTTTTCTCCAGCACGTTTCTCGTAGTAATGGTAGGCAGCTGCACTAGAGAGCACCGCCAGCGTTAAGGCCTGTGCATGCATCCTGTAACACACACACAAAATAAAATAAGAAATAAAAAATTTCTAAATTATTAGTTTTGTAAGAAAAAAAAAAACATATATACATATATGATGAAAATTGTAAGAAACTGGGGGAAAAGGAAAGCCCATATGAAGCCCAAATGAGGTTCCATCCCAAAACCAATTGGTGAAAGGAGGAGTAGCCCATTAGACTTATAAGGTGGGTCTATTTTCTATGTGTGAACGATGTGGACAACTCACAAGTGATATTCTAACAAAAATTAATATATTTATTGAGAAAATTAATGAAATAATTAAACCTGGCATGAATGAGCCTGACACTTGGTTTAAATGTGGTTTTTGTGCCCGAATGAGCCATTGAAGCACCTATTGCTGCAGCCCATAATGTTCCTATCACAAAAATAATTAATGGTGACTATATTTGTTATTTTTTTAATTTAACTACATTGATTTATTATATATTAATACATAAGAAAAACGAAATGAAGCTATAGGGAAATGCTACAGTCCCGTTACGGAACCATTCCGTTCGGATTTGTAACCGTTAAATCATCGTGTAACCGTTGTGGATAGTTGATCTAACGGACAAATCCCGACGAAATGGTTCCGTATACAATACCAATGCTGGTGAGCTTGTGTTGGGAGATCCATGACTGTATAGACTCCATTTAATTTTCCTTCTCAAATTCTATATTTTCTTCTTGATTTCTGAATTTAAGTGGAGAAGACACTTAATTGACAAAAATGAATTGAGAGTGAGGAATAGATAGGGAGCAATAGGCAATATATAGAAGGGAAAAATATATACATTAACATATATAATAAAAAAAAAAAGGAATAAATTTGGTGTTTGGTAAATGAGGTGGTGGCCCCTTGGTTTCAAATATCCGTACCACAAAACTACTGGCCGATTTTTTCTATTTTTTATTTATTTTTTAGTCCTTTTCATTTTCAAATTTTCAGTTTTTTATGATGTACGTTTTTGTTTGACATATTTTTGAACTTTGTTGAAAAAATATTCAGGCACTGAGATGCGAGTTGCGAGCCACTGTCAAGTTAATCCTTTTAATGCTTTAATTAGAATTTATTTTGTCCAAAAGTAACTGTAGTTTAGAAATTGGAAAAGTAATTTTTTTGTTCTCAGTAATTTAACATACCCTAATTTTATACTTTAAACATTAAAGAGCTAATTTGTCCTGAATTAGTTAGGTTTAGAAATTCAAAACTAGATCTTTTAAGTTGTAAAATACACCAAAATGCTCATTTAACCATCCACCTTAGGCATATTAAAACGTGTCCACCTGCCACATGTTAAAATCTCGTAAATTTTGAACACTATCTCGTAATATTTATAAAAAATTAGATTTTTTGTCCTTTATTTAGTAAAGGTGATTGGATATGAATTAAACTAGTTTTTTTATAAACTATATTTAAGTTTGGAAAAATAAAAATAGTATAGTTAATTGTTAGTGGATATATTAAAATAATATTTAAATTAAAATAATTATAGTTGATTAGATGTAAAAGTGGGAGAAAATGATTGAAAGTGATAGTTAGTTAAAATTATGTGAGTGGATGAATAATGAGTGAATTAAAGTTGATGTGATGTGTAATAATGATTGGTTGATATTATTTAACTATATATATTGATAATATTAGAGATACTGGAGTTGAATTAAATTTGAGTTTTGAGTTAGATATTTAATGTAGAATTCATAAACAATCACACCCTAAATGACAGATGTGACCTAATTAGAACAATTTTAGTAATTAAGGAGTTTTCAGAAGATTTATATCTTTCAAATTAAATTGTTGGTATAAAATAAAGTAAGTCAAAAAATATGCGGGACTCGTTAAAAGAAGGTTTGTGAAGTCTAATCAAAGTTGTTATTAAACATTCTACCAAAAAAAAAAAAGAGTTGTTATTAAACACAATCATTTTGTAATAAAAAGGGAAAAAAACAAAGTCCTGTGTTTTATTTTATTTTTTGTTTTCTTTTTAATCAAAGTACTTATGACTTGACCCGCCCAAATTCGTGTGCAATATTGATTCATTTAATAATCATATAATACTTTAAAATATTCGCGTCTGACATAGGGATAACATTAAAAACTAATCATTTTTTTCTCTCTCAAGAAATTATTTTCAATATTATAATTACCCAAAATCTACAAAACACAATTATTTATAAAGAAAATAAGATTGCCATGCTCCAAAGCATCGCACGAATTAACGGTAATTATTAATACCTCATAAAATTTTATATTATCATAATGATGTAATAATAGTTATCTTTTAAGAGGATAAATATTTAATATCTCACCAGTTTAGTTTTAAAATCTTGAATGCATTTCTGATGACATACGTACACTCTCCACCTTGTTTAAAATTTTTTGTGGGCTTCTCTCTCAGATCAAATGTGAATGTTAAAAGGGCTTTGTGTTTTGCCAGTGAACTTCCTGAAGCCCAATCCATATTAATGATGCCACTGTAGCATATAGCATTTCATAATCCTCCATATATTTAATTCTCGAATGCGCTGAGCCTACGTGGCTGTTTCTGGTGCTTTGTAATCCTACGAAATGATTCCGTAACGTGACCGTAACATTTTCTTAATATAAATGTAACCGATACATACAATTCGCTTGGTGGGGGGACCTTCGTTCGGGAGATGCAATAAATGTTTGCCCCATTCAATAGTTCGTTCAAACTTCAAATTCGATATTATATGAAGAAAATGATTCTATTGCTCTTCTTCCCTCTTACATATTTATTCATTTATATGAACAAACATAAGAGAATGTCATACAAACATTGATGACGTTATTATGCGCATACCACAATTTTAAGGACATACGAATTAAAAATACAATAAAAATTGGGACAAAAAGATTCTCTATTTGAGATTTTGTTTGAGAAACTTATACAAAGCGGTCCAACCCGGACCCAAACAAAACTATCCTTGAGCCTCCCCACTTCGATTAATTACCTTTAATTAATTCGGGTCGTGCGTCATGGACCCGTTTGCCAACCCATTTTTGAAGGCATTTAATTATTTAATGGCCTTACGCATACCCCACACATGCCACTCCTAGAAAGGCCCGTATAACTATTGATACTTGACCAAAATTATTGATGGCCCAATTAGCTATTTTCACCATATTTGCAAAATTTAGGATTGAATGTCAACTTTTTTACATTACACATCAATAACAAATTAAGGTTGATTTATAGGATTACAAATATAGTACGTAGTTACGTTGATAATATTTTACGTTACACATAAGAGGAATTGGAGTAGTTTGGCTGTTCGAATTTGATTCTATAATTACGATTATTTATATCACAAACTAATTTGTTTACATGTAGAAGTTTTTATTTTATTTTGATGTTTCTTGTTTTTTTGACGTGGACATCGGGCAGGCCAATCAGGTCCACTCCAACATTGACTCAACCGGGTCAATCCACACTACAAAAAAAAACTCTTACATTTCAACAGAAATTTTTTGTTGGAATTCTTTATATTTTCCGTTAGAATAACTATTCCAATAGATATTCTTACGTTTAAAAATTCGTGGGAAAAACGGTCGTTGGAATAACTAAAATCCAACGGAAAATTCTATGGAAATAAATTCCTGCAGCTATTCCAACGGAAAAAATCCGTTGGAATTCTTCAACCAGCCAACACTTATTCCAACATAAAATTAAGTTTGTTGGAATATTTATTGGAATTTCCAACGGAAATTTTTACTGTTAGAATTTTTCGTTGGAATTGAAGTGTTTTCTTGTAGTGTCAATTTGACTCGGCCACTATTCTATTTTTTATTTAAAAATAAATTAAGGTATAAATACGATATTATTTAGATTTTTTTTTTGTAGCCAACCACGGTATCCGGAGTTATGCTCCGACTAATCCGTTGGTCTAACCAGATCGCACACCTGACAGTGATGGGTGAGTCTCCCAACATGAATTTTCGGGTTAATCTGATGTCCCCAAAGTTGCCGTGACTTCAATTGGCCGAAATTTAAAAAAGTTGTTTTATCCAACATACGCAAATTAACCACCAACTTGAAGGCTAAAATCAATTGCTTTTTATAACAGTTCTTCTTGTGACTATCCATATTCCTTATATGGTGTACGTACTCTCCAAACGTATATAATAAATCAATTTTAAGTAGATAGTATATCCCTCTCATATATAGTCTCATTTCCGAAAAAAATAAAAATAATAATAATAAAATAAATAATAAAAACCTAGAAAACCTACCTTTATTATTGTTAAGAAATATATCGCACATGCAGCGTATTTAAGTATATAATATATGAAGCAAGCAGGCTAGCGTATTGCAACCTTAGATTCTTACATTAAATTTTGAGTCCCAAAAGATAGCTCAATAATGATGCGCGGGTTGCGCAGCGATTGCCTATTTTTGTATCAATAATTGTTTCACCTTGTATAGCGAATTTTTGGAGTTACGAGGAAGGCTACGGTCCCGTTACGAGAAAATTTCGTTGTTGTTTTTAGCTGTAGAAACCATCTCGTAAAGGGATTATAACATTCCAGTTCCGTTCCCCTGCTCACGGTGGGCAGTGCCCATCACTTTTTTTTACATGAAAAACGTATTCTCAAAATACGTTTTTCAATTAATATAATTGAAAAACGTATTCTCAGAATACGTTTTTCGTGTAAAAAAAAGATGGTGAGCACTGCCCACCGTGGGCAGGTGAGCGGTTCTATATAACGTTCACCTTTGTCATTATATACATTATGCGTACCCACGTTCAACTCACAAGTTGATGGGCGCAATTATGAAAGACAAATAATTCAATTTTATTCTTTTAGAAGAAGATTATTTGGGAGCAGTTATGCTATGGAACTATCGGAAGACACGACTTATGGAGTCATCAACACTTATTCACAAATAGTGTATTGACATGTATTCTACAATAAATACACATTGGACAAGTGTCAATACATTAAGTGGTGAACGACGTCCATAAAAAAATCATCCGATGACTCCATAGAATTTCTATATTAGGGAGTTGCAATTGATTTAACCAATTATATTATATCTCGCATTTGGATATGAGACTTTAATTCACTAATATTCATCCACTCGTTTAATTTTAACAGGCATCACTTCCAATAATCTCTTTCATATTTTTACATGACATCAACATTAATCATTACATATTAAATATTATTCAATTATTTCAAAAATCATTCAATCAATCAGCGATCTGTGCAAAATAACTAATTTGAACAAACGAATAACCAATTGAGTTCATATCCAATCACGCTCTTAGGAATTCAGTTTTGAAAGGTGGTTTCAAGTTTTAGCTGGGATTCTCATGTATGGAGGCGCTCTAATTAGAAATTAGGCATACGAAATTATGGGGGACAAATCCGGACAATAATTGGGGCAGTGGCTATAGAAGAGCATAAAGGGCATTCAGCTCGGGATACAGTCGAACACTACATCAGAAGGATTGTGTAATCTTAGGGGTCCCCTCTGTGTTATTAATGCTCGAAAACATATTAATGGAGTAATATTTATTTATATACATTCACAGAGTATAATATTAGTACCCCAAGTCTTGGGCTGTGCTCTCGTACGTACACTCCGAGAGAGCTTTTTTCACGATACCGTCCACCAAGTGAGGTA